GTGATGGACAGTGCAAGAAGCCAATCAGCGACAGCTGGCCCCAGTTGCAGAGAGGTTAGTGACAAGCAGGTCAGTCGTAACGCCTCCGCTGAGTGGTCAGTGGTACCATATGGAGAGTATTAGTTGATCGGGAAATTATATTTTTATATAACCTTGCCCACTATATTAAATTAAATTTAAACTACGTCATCGCAAAAACCCTTTACGTCTTTGTCAGCAAATAGTTGTATTGCTACTGCACATAAATACAAAAGGTGTATTAGATGCTTATGAATAATTCAATACATAGAATTTTTCATAGGGAGGGAAAGGGCATCTTTACCTATTGTGGTTGATGTTGGGGGTTCGAACCCTTTACTTGGCCAACTTTTTCAATAATTGAGAAAGAAGTCGAACTCTGCCAAGGTGCAAGGTCTGATTTACAATAGCGGTGTACAAAGATGCCATATTTACGAAGCCAAGACAATGCCGGTTTACAAATTATGCCACAGCTATATGTAGCTGAATAAATTACACCCTGCAAATGAATACAAGTGTTGACAGTTTATAATTAGCATAACAGACAGAACAATAGTCACATGACCAAGACCAACACAGATCTAATCCCTTTGTGAATGATTGTAAATCCCAGCACACTGAGGAAAACACGCGTAGTTTAAAAGATACATCAGAATTGAATGCTGCCGTTTACATATAAATACAACGTTTTAACGTACATAATCTGACCAATATCAACCCTGGCGGGATTACAATAAACTAATATTCTATTGCAACAAGAATATAAAGTGCGGGCCGTTTTCTAGAACCTCTACTTCATACATGGCGTTCAGTATTGTTAGTTACTGTTAGTGTCGTCGTGGCTTTACTTCAACTATTAGATCAACGGATGTAAATGGTCGTGGCTTTACTTCAACTATTAGATCAACGGATGTAAATGGTCGTGGCTTTACTTCAACTATTAGATCAACGGATGTAAATGTTACAAATTCGCGGGGGAGCAGCAGATCAGCATTCGATCCTACGAGAACATACAACAGGAAGGTGCTGTGCTATATTTCTTGACACTACATTTTTTATTTACAAGTGATTTAATGTACAATGTCAGGATTTAGCATACCAATACATGTTTAAATATTCACATTTTGGCGATGGCCGTTACAATGAAATGTTTATTAGAAATTAAAATATTGAAGAAAAAGGAATACATTATTTATGTATAATTACCGTTCACTCTACTAGTAGCCCACGTGCTTATGTAAATTAAAGAGATGTGTCTGTAGTCAAAATATACTGTATAAATTTATAATAATTCAGTGTACAACTAATACAACTTTTACTGGAGATGCGCTTCTAACAGTAACAATACAGTTGGTAAGCACCAGTCTATATTTATTTAAACAAGAAATGACAATATAATAGTCACTACAATGCACATACATTCCAAAACATAAATTTGAATTTGTTATTCCTGATATAAAAAATACGTAATGTACACCCAGTATTTAAATTGTACTATATAATATGTTCAGCCTGTCACCAAGTTTCTGTAGGATTTTGGACATATTTTTAATTACGTATTCTATGTACAGCAATATGTAATAAACAATTTAAATGAAAACATGAAAGTAATGAAACTAATTCATACAAAAAATAATTAATAAAATAGTCAACACAAATTTTACTTTTCAATTTATATCAAAATTAGCAATATTTGTTTGCAATCAATTTAATACTGAATTATTAGTTATGCTACAATGAATCGGATTTGACAGCAGGTGGTTTCAATAACAAGGTACGTAAGGTCACTGGATGTGCATGCCATTGTTATAAAGCTAGGGTTTTTATATAGCTCGCGCTAATGACAATGGAAGACATTTTGATGTAGAGCAGACAATTAAACAGACGGCACATGTCGTAGCTAAACCAATTAATATTCCCAATGGGGCTAGCTGATACTATGAGGTTATTGCCCAATATCGGCGCTTAGTGGAATCGTATAGAAGTGAGTATCGTTTGAGCCGCCTCACACGAGTTGGAGACAGTGAATCTATTCCGATATCAAACAGGTCAAATTTTGTTCCTGCTCAAATTTGTATAAATTTGTTCACATTTTTTGTAATTATCACAAAATGTAATCTTAATTTTGAATCAAACAGAAAAAATATGATATTGCTTCCAGTTTTTGATCAAAATGT